TGGGAATGGACTACAGTATTCTGAAAATCTGCCAAGTTCTGGAGCCTTCTGATATTTGCTCCATAAAATCTGAAGTTAGAGGGTCTGTCTAATCTGAGTAAAGACTATTAAGTCTTGGCCACCTCCAGCTTTACAGGCACTATTATACTATGGTATGCTGCAAACAGTGTAAACAGATCAAGAGCATTTATTCAATTAAATTCCACATGTATTATGACAAAACTTACCAAATTAGACACTTTAGATATGTGCATTTTATCATATTCCAATCATACCTCAATAACACTGTAAATTTTAAAAGTTCCAAATGAAAAAGAATAAAATAAAATCTGTGGCATCTTAAAAAAAATTCTACATGTATTTCTAGGTGCTAGATGCTGAGTAAACAAAGGCAGAAAAACTATAGGTCTCACAACTGTGATGGACAAAAGCACATAAACATATACACTTTTTTTTTTTTTTTTTGCCAAGGAAGATTGGCCCTGAGCTAACATCCCTGCCTATCTTCTGCTATTTTGTATGTGCGATGCTGCCACAGTATGGCTTCATGAGTGTATGTAGGTCCACGCCCAGGATCCGAACCTGTGAATCCCCAGGACTCTGAAGCAGAGTATGCGAACTTAACCACTACGCCACTGGGCCAGCCCCCAACATATACATTCTTACACACACATACTAAAGTCACTGAGTGCTCACTTATGTGGCCCTCTTCTAACTTTTACAAACATCAATTAATTTAATCCTCACAACCCTATGAGTAGATACAATTGTTACTGCTGTTTTATACATGAGAAAACCGAGACACAGAGAGGTTAAGTAACTAGACCAAAGTTACAAAACTAGTAAGTGACAGGCCAGAATTTAAATCCAGGCTGTATCACTTGATGTATTTAGTTTGCTGGGGCTGCCATAACAAAATACCACAGACTGAGTGGCTTAAACAATAGAAACGAATTTTCTCACAGTTCTAGAGGCTAGAAGCCCAAGATCAAGGTGTTGGCAGGTTTGGCTTCTCCTGAGGCCTCTGTCCTTGTCTTGCAGTGCCTTCTCGCTGTGTCCTCACATGGCCTTTCCTCTGTGTGAGCACATCCCTGGTGTCTCCCTCTTCTTAGGACCCACCCTAACAGCCTCATTTTAATTTTCTTAATCAGCTCTTTAAAGACCTTATCTCCAAATATGCTTACATTTGGAGGCACTGGGGGTTTGGACTTCGACATATGAGTTTTAGGGGGACACAATTCAACCCGTAACACCTGATGACTGTGTAACCTCAAGAAAGTTACTAGACCTTTCTAGGCCTCGGTTTCAACTGTAAAATAGTGTTATTGAGAATCAAATGAGATAATTCATGTAAAATGCTTAACAGAGTGTCTGGCACATTCTATCACCTTTTTACAGATGAGGAAAACAAAACTCAGAGAGATGGTGACTTGCCCTGTTTTCATCTCTAAAGTGGAGTTCTTACACTACAGAACACTACTTTCCTGTACAACCAAATGCATAATCTAGGAGAATTTTATATAATTTATAAATTTTCTACATCTCTCACTTCCTGCTTTCTCATAGTATTTTTCTTACTTCATCACATACAAGACAGTGAGAGAAGGAGAAGCTCAAATTAATAAAAACTTAGGGAAGTATACTACTTTTCTGAGACTGTATGTGAATTTCATTTCTTTCTCCTAATTTGCAAAGACAATTGGCTATAGTCACACAGTGATGACACCTCAGATCAATAGCTACTTTTAACTATTAAGAAAGGAGAGCAACTCAATGCTTTTTTAAAAAATTAAGATTGTACTTTACATTTGCCTAGTACTCTACATATATTACACCCATTTAATCTTCAATACAATCTTATGATATTGTTTTATTTAGCCCTCATAACAATCACGTGAAGAAGGCATTATTCCAATTTTACAGCTGAGGGAACAGGAGCACAGCAAGGTTAAATGTTTTTCTTTAAGGTCACAAAGCTTGACAGTAACTGGCAGAACCAGAACTCTCATTGACATCTTCAAGTCCAAGGCCAAAGGTTCACCAGTCCAGACCACCATCTACCTTGGCAAGTCGCAATACCTGGTTTTCTCATTCTTCATGCTTGACACAGACAGAGCAGGTGCTCAGCAAATAAGGCAGTCTGATTTGGGACAATCTAGACTAGGCTGCAAGGAATCTCTTTTACATTCTTTACACGGGCCAAGTTTCCTGACAGCTTGACCACCATCAAGCCCTTGGACTAACAGCTCTTTTAGGACAGCAACCACAGACTCTTTCTTCCCCAGTGTCTAGCACACTGGGTGCTCATTTAAGTTCAACAGATATTTGAGAAATGAGAGTTCAAGTAACTATTTGTTGTATAATGGAATCACAACACATTCTTCCTGTAGTGATGGCAATGGGTACATTTCAGCCACCACCATATAACAACATCAATAACAAGAAGCATTTACAGAAATCCTCTCTCATGGCCCACAATAGAGAAGCCTACAGGGCTTTTCCAATCCCAAAAATCGGTGATTTCATAGCAGTCTACTCCTGACAAGTGTTGAACTGATCGCCTCAAGTATCAATTATGGGCACAACGCAATTGGATTTTCCAGTACAGAACCACCACAGTGTTCTTAGTCCGCAGTTTGCTTCCAGGAAAGCAACAACTCTGCGCTTGTGACAGGGAAGTTCACAATTCCCAGAGGAAAGTGTAATGGATGATAAGGTCGATCTGAGACACAGTGGAACTGCTGTTTGTCAAGGCCTCTGTGTCATAAAAGGGAGTTATATTAAGAGAAATCATGCTAACTTATATTTCCTCAAGAATACAATGCTGTCTGGATTTTTAACTTCAAATTTGTTTTGTCATGAGCAGCCAGGTAAATTTTGACCATGCCATGGAAACTATGTGGCCACTTCTGAGCTGTTCTACACACAGGGAAGGGAGCGGGGCAGAGCTGGCCAGTGCAGTGTTGTAAACTCTCCTGTAACTTCAGAGACTTGTGGACGTCCAGTCTGTTCATCTCTGTTGCTTTTGTGTATCCTGTTGTTAACTGGCGATCACCTCCCTGGCTACCTATTTCACAGAGCTTTTGTAGCAGATTTAAAACAAAATTTGAGCTCTCAGAAAGAAAAGCATTCAATAAAGAATTGAAAGGATAAAGTATCGCCAGTATTACACTTCCTGTCTGAATTAATCTTTTCAAAGTGCTCTGAGATCTGAGGCATGCAAATTCACTAGAAAAGTAACGAGTTACTTTAGGCTATCTTTTCTAAATCAAGGTAACCTACCAACACTCTTTTTTTTTTCTGAGGGAAATTAGCCCTGAGCTAATATCCAATGCCAATCCTCCTCTTTCTGCTCAGGAAGATTGGCCCTGGGCTAACATATGTGCCTATCTTCCTCTATTTTATATGGGACGCCACCACAGCATGGTTTGACAAGCGGGGCGTCGGTGCACCCGTGGAATCCAAACCTGCGAACCCTGGGCCGCCAATGCGGAACGCATGAACTTAACGCTACCCACCGGGCCGGCCCCCCAATATTCTTTTCTGATGCCTTAATCAAGAGAGAAGAAATTTCAGAGAGAAATGTAGAGGCATACAAATGGAGTAATTCTGCAAATAGCCAAATTAAAACATTAATTTACCCACTCATCATCACTGTAATAAATATTTATTAAATATATGCAATATATAAGGCACCGAGCTAGATGCTGTAAGGATATGGAGTTATGTAAGAGATGTTCACATATCCTCCTGGAGTGCAACTACACCATAAGATGAAACTTTTGTTTAGATTTCCTCCCCAAATAAACAAAAGATTCAAGTTTCCCTAGGACATGGAAGAACAAAATAATTTTTTTCTCTATTATGACTTTCTGGCTTCACAGAAAAAGTTTAGAACACACTGGGGGAGAAACTTGTCTTTTATCTATTAGTTTCCACTGACAAGCAGCAGCTTTCTCAAGAGTGACTGAGCTGCAGAATGACTGTAACTTCCATAACAGCCTGATTAAATCTGACATGCACATGACATGGGGGGAGAAAGGAACCCATGTGCCCTTCAATTGCAATAAGAAAAGTTGAAACGTATTGTCAGGGAAAGCAGGAAGATCAAGATCATGTGGTTTGGAAAGAAGATCAAGAATGATAGGACAGAAATATTCCAAATAACAGCAAGTCACTTGGGATTCCTTGAATGCCCTGCCATATTAAATCACATATGGCTATGCAATGAAAGGAAAAGTTAAGGCCTATCTCACGCCTCACTTCTGCTACTGACTGACCTTGAAAAAGAAAATTAAGACAACCTTTTCAAGTTATTCAATCAAAGGCAGCAATTGTAGCCTGGACATTTAAGGGAATAAGCTCATTAGGTAGGGTAAAAGACTTGTTTAGCCATTAGTCAGGGTCCTTACCCAATTAATTTAAAACAGGAAGCCCCAAATTTCCTTAAAACTTTACTAGTATTAGTTTACTAGAACTGGTTGTTCCAATATATAAATTCTTTCTGTGTGTTTACTTCCTCCCTAGATTTATGGCTAAATTGTTCTCAAAAATGGAATGAACTTCTTAATATCTGCTTCTTTCACTTTTAATATTCTATTTTCCCTAAGCCACAGAACTGATGTTCTTCAACAAATGGAGTAAAGTGAATGCTGAGAACCAGCTCTCGTGTCCAAGGATAGGGGAACAAGGAAGGGTTTATATCCAAAGGCAAATATGACATACCCAAAACAAGTCAAGATCACATTAAGGAAATCTACAGCATATCAAACAAAATTTTGTACTTACGGTTCTCATCAAGCTGAACTATCTTTTGGGACAGCCAATCATGAACAAGATTGCTGTATTTGGAAATCAGACAGCATGAATAGACAGCCTCTTCACAGAAATGGAAAATGACACTCAGCCAGCTCTATGTCCCATGGTGTAATCTCACATGCAACACATGAACAACTCTTATTCATTTTTTTTTTTCCAAAATGAAAAGTAGATCAACTTACATGGCTCTCTGGCAATGAACTGAGGTACAGTGTTGGGCAGAGGAGTACTGGGGTTTGGAGTCCCTACTAGTTTGTTCTTGGCCATCTTTGTGTTTGCCTTAGCAAACTCTAGTCGTAGTGTTTGCGGAATTTCAGGATCGAAGCGTATGCCCTTTGGAAATAAAGAACAAATGGAAGATGTTTTCATTTCCTTAGAGTCAAACAGGAATGGTGACAAAATAAACACAACAGTAAACCCTGGCCTATCAGAAAAAAAGGTCAGCTAAAGCTCTCCTTCTCACTACTTACACAGATTACACGAAAACCCATGAACACAAGTCCAGAAAGTCAGGTAGAGTTTGTTTACTTAAAGAATTTAGTTACATAGTTTTTCAACTCTTCCTTTTTTTCTTGGACGAAAAACGTTCAAGTTTTAAATATGAGGCAGCAAATTCCTAGCACAGTCAAAAACTTTAATTAATGGCTACCAATAAGAATGAAAGAATTAGTGTAAAGCCCTGTGCAATACTGGAAATCCTAAGAGGCCTGGGCTTTGACCAGTGCTCTGACACTGACTTAAAAACAATATAATTCTTCAATGCCTTAGTTTCATCACCTGTCATTAGAGGTGGAAAAATTCCCATCCCTTTCTAACTGGGGAGCTTTCATAACAGTGATACACGTACTCTGAGTTACTAAGAAGACAGGAAATAAACAGTTTTAAGATTTCAATATAACTAGTATTTAATTCCAGTTAGCTTATAACTTTACATAAAATATGCACGTCTTGACATGGTAAAGTCCTGATTTTAATTATAGCTGGCTTATTAGCTACATGGATAGAGAGACAACAGGCCAAAGAGAGGATAGTCATTTCAATTGCTCTGGACCCTATTACTGCAGTTCACCTAAAACAAAACATACTCCATAAAATAAATCACAATCACTATAAAATACAAGATTTAGGGCAATATCTAAGGTCTATTTTGAAACCCTTCCACCACTCAAGAATGCCTTCATTAATAAGCATAATGAATGATCTCATATCTATGTCCGATGCCACGGATTCTGGACCCCAACAATAGTATCAAAAAGATATCCCAGTATAGTACATAAATATGCATCTAAAACAGACTCAGGTCCCACACTTGTCTGTACGGTGTGTTCTGGAAAGGAAGTGGAGTTCTGAAAATGAGTATCCTAAAAACACGGGTATTCCATTTAGTGCACATGTGGGCCTGTGAGCCCCCAAGTCCCCCTTCTTCTTCTTAATTAGCTTGAACAAAAGTAAGAACAATTTCCACATGAAATTAGTAAGAATCTCTGACTCTGTAGACCAGGATGAACAACTCTGAACATCACGGGCTCAGCTTCAAAGATGGGAGGAAGGGCCTGTGACTGGATGGTAATGGTAATAAGAGAAATAAGGGGAGTTCTGAAAAGGGAAGGTAAGAGAGGTCCTCAGGGAGGTACAACAAAAGCCACAGAGCCCTGACCCACAGATGTCCTGGAGTGGCTGGAGTTTCTTGGTGAACCTGATTTATCCATTCTCTAGAAGAAACCAAGTAAAGGTGGCAAATGGGGATGGGTGGGAAGAAAAGGAATCCACTTGTGCAGCCCTCACCAACAACAAAAAGTGAAAAGGGGGTGCCAGTTATATGAAATGTAAAAAGAAATTCTTTCTTTAACTGGTCTCAGTTTTTGTTTTATTTTGCTTTAATTTGGGAAACCTCAGTATTATCTTGCCAAAAATGTATATATGGAAAAAGAACAAAGCAACATTCTTTTTTTTTTTTTTTTATTTTTCCCCCAAAGCCCCAGTAGATAGTTGTATGTCATAGCTGCACATTCTTCTAGTTGCTGTATGTGGGACGCGGCCTCAGCATGGCCAGAGAAGCGGTGCGTTGGTGCGCGCCCAGGATCCGAACCCCGGCCGCCAGCAGCGGAGCCCGTGCACTTAACCGCTAAGCCACAGGGCCGGCCCCAAAGCAACATTCTAAAGCAGTGTTTGCTTCCATCCGCTTCCATTCGACTTAAGAGCATTTCACTCTATTAAAGCTAATACCACAACAGAATAAGTATTTCCAAATACAGACCTAAAGAGTTGTGGTCTTTGCTGAAAGACAAGTGCAGTCCCTGGAATGTCATCTAAAGGTACGCTGTGGAGTGACGTGTGTATTCAGCCACACATAGTAACAACTTGCCATCAATTTCAGGGTGTCCTCCCTGGCACTAAACCCCACCAACCTTCCCGTGAAGAAGCAACTTTCCTAAACCTGAGCCCACATCAACGTGAGCACCGAGGCCTAGGCTGTCGTAACACAAGAAGAGCACCCTGAGACCTGTCAGGAGTCTTCTGGAGTCTCCAGCCTCAGACAATGAGGCTGCATATCTGACTTCCACACCTCAGCTCCTTCACTGGTGTTCTTGAGTCCACCAAGGCTCCACACAACTCACTTTCCTCTTACACAACCTGGGCTGGTGGCTCATGTCCTAAAACATGCTGAACTGAGTCTCTCCCACTCCTCCTCACCCCCTCCCTCCCCATGTGAGCTAAAATAACACCACCATCATGTTATGTTCCAAATCAAAGTTCCAGCTCCTTATTAAAAAAAAAAAAAAACTCAGAAGTTAAAATGACCTAATTTGTTTGGCAGCTTATTCAGAGGCCGGAGGCTCAGAATACAAGCCACATTCTTCTAACATCTTGAGCAGCAACACCATATTTGGTAATCAATATCCTGCTCAGCTCAGTTTCTATCCAGAGGGATCAGCCAAGCCAAAAACATTTTAAATGTTAAAGGCTGATGAAGAGGAGGCAGAGGGGGGCAGGGTAGGGAGAGCAGGGAAGTGAAGAGAGTGAAAAGAGAAAGATGAAAAAGAGGAAGATAGATAAGAAGGAGGAGACATGAAAAAAAAAATACCTTGTGCTTTTAATTAAAGCCTAATAAGATTATTCTCTGGCCAGAGTGACTTCACATTAAATGCTGTCAGGATAAGATTACTGCCAAGTTGAAGGGGGAATCTGTGCCTTTCAAAGTCAACTTTTTCCTCTCTTGCCTATAATCCACCAAAACTCTTCTTATAATGAACAGAAACCTTTCTCTTACAATTGTAAATGGTATCTTATTTACATGGTGACCAGAAAGGACGTTTCTGGATATCGGTATGATACCAATTTGAGAATAAACAGTTACTCAGAAGCAACTCAATCTGACTGGCTACAGGGACAGCCAAAAGTCTCTTCAAGATGGCCTACAACATTCTGACCAAATCAACACAGGTTCACTACGATCTACAAAGGCTGAATTCCCTACCCAGGGCAAGACACTGCTGACAAATAATGGATCCTTAGTAGTCTAGTATACTTAAGAGTAAACCAGGGCAGTTTCAAATCCATATGCTTATGCGTGACAGACTGCACATTTGTGTTCTCCCAAAATTCATATGTTGAAGCCCTAACCCCCAATGTAATGGTATTTGGAAGTGCATCTTTGGGAGGTAATTAAGGTTTAGATGAGATTCTGAGGGTGGGGCCCTTATGATGGGATTAGTGCCCTTAGAAAAAGAGGAAGAGACATCAGAGATCTCTCTCCATGAGCACACACTAAGGAAAGGCCACATAGGCACAGAGGGAGAAGGCGTTGTCTGCAAACCAGGAAGAGGCTTCTCATCAGATACTAAATCTGCTGGCAACTTAATCTTGGATTTTCTAGCCTCCAGAACTCAGAGAATTAAATGTTTGTTGTTTAAGCCATCCAGTCTATGGTATTTCATTATGGCAGCCCAAGCTGACTAGGAAACCACGCTAATACAGTTTTCTTTCCTGGGCCATAGTTCCTAAAATACCCGACAGCGTTCTTTCTGAACCTTCTGCAGCTTCACCAAGTATATCTCCCCTTCTCCACCAGCCCCATCCCCAACCCCACCTTTCTCCTCACTGAAGGTGACTCAACCTATAGGACTAGTTTTATTCAACTGATATATGTGCCTGGTATTGTGATCACTATTAAGTCCTAATAATTTGATCGTAAAAGCTACAGAGAGCAATTAGAGACTCCGAAGGAAAATTCAAACTCTGCATTTACATAACGTAATGCTCTAAACTCAAAGTCAGTTACCGCATTCAGGACTCTATTTAGGGAATTTTTAAAAATATTTTCCCCCCTTTCTCTTAAATATAAATAAAGCTTAAGAACTATTTGTAAATAAAGGTTAAAAAGAGAATTTTCTGAATTGTGGGCTTACACTCCCCAATGCAAATTTATGTTTCATATTTAAAATTGAATTAAGATTCTAAGCAAGTTAGAGAGCTTAAAAATGTCACTTTATTGGGGCTGGCCGGGTGGCGCAAGCAGTTAAGTGCATGCACTCCGCTGCGGCGGCCTGGGGTTCGCCTGTTCGGATCCCGGGTGCGCACAGACACACCGCTTGGCAAGCCATGCTGTGGCGGCGTCCCATATAAAGTGGAGGAAGATGGGCATGGATGTTAGCCCAGGGCCAGTCTTCCTCGGCAAAAAAAGAGGAAGATTGGCAGATGTTAGCACAGGGCTGATCTCCTCACACACACACACACAAAAGTCACTTTATTGTTCTACAAACTATATGAAAGCCTGGAGACCTAAAAGGATAAGAAAAGAGCTAGAATAAAATAAAACACAAGGACATGGGCAAGGTGAAAGGAAATTACCAAATCCTGAAGGCCCAAGCCTCCAGGAATCCAGAGAGTCACTGTAAATGAACTGTGGCTCTTTCAGTGACTTTCTGGAAGACAAAATGGAGACTCCATTAATTAAATATGCCACAAAGCCCAGATCCTAAGTAGCTCTCCTATTTCTCTGGCTGTTGTGATTCTGGCTTCTTGTGCACATTGGCTGGTGTGGCAATGATTTACTGCCTGCAAATCACAGGTCTGGGCTCATACAAGGAGACTGGATTATTCTGAACATAAAGGTACAACATCACTCCAGCTCCTCAGAAGTGTGCTGGTATTGGATTAATGTTATCCCACATGAGTGGGGATAAATAATAGTTAGGAGTTTATTTACTGAATAATGGAAAAAAAGAAAGAGGAGAGGGCTTCTAGAATGGTTAAAATATCCCCAGAGGCCTACTCTCATATGTAATGTGTAGTCCTTGATTGAACAAACCAGATATAAGACCTTTTGTGGG